AGTCCCAACAAGATTCTTCTTGGCTAGATTAACAGTGATCACATTTCCCTTGGTATCGCAGGTAACAAAAGAAAACTGGCGTACATCGTTCCCAGACCAAGAATCAGAAAGTGAAACGGGATACCCAAAACCACCTGCAATTTCCAGCATAACTGTGACCTGAGGGTCGCAAGAACTGCTATTGCTGCAGAAATTATTGATCCCATCATTAGTGACCTTCTCCACATTGGGAGGGAATTTGGGAGAAGGACCCTGCAATTTGTTGTTAGACAAAGATATATTCTTCAAACTTGGGAGAGAAATCAGAGATTGGGGTACCGGACCCGTGAACATGTTGTCCCGAAGCTGAAGATCGAACAAAGAAGTGCAATTTGACAAATCTGGAATCGGACCCGTGAACTGGTTTTTCTGGAACCAAACCTGGGTCACCGACGTCATCTTGGACAGTATGTCGATGGTACCAGTGAACCCATTTTGCTGATTGTTGATCCAGAGAGACTGGATCGAGGTTCCTCCAAGAGAGGCCGGAAGCGTTCCGGTTAAGTTGTTATACGAAAGCCTGAGGTACTGCAAACTGGAGAAGAGCTGGAAGTTGTCCGGCAAGGGACCGTAAATATTGGTGTTGTCGAGATATAGGCTGGTGAGGCCGGCGGATTGGGTTAAATTAGGAAAAAGCCAAGGCTCAATACCTTCATTGTTGCCCAAGCTGAGGACCTGCAAATTGTTAAGCCCATCGAAGGCACCAGAGGAGACGCTGGAGAAATTGTTGTTGGAGAGAAAGAGATTCTGCAGGGATGCGAGACTGGAGAAGGAGGGAACCGCCCCGGAGAGAGATTTGGCAGACAGATCGATAGTAATGACGCTGCTGGAGGAGGAGTCGCAGGTGATGCCCTTCCAGTTGCAGAAGCCAGAGGAAGAAGTGGTGGACCATGAGGGCGGAGTTGGGGTGAGAGCAGCGGCGAGCTTGAGAATGGCGGGTCCGTCGTCCGCGGAGGAGGTGGCGAAAGAAAGGAGGAGGAGAGAAAGTGAGAGCAGAAGGGTTGGGTGGCCCATTGTTGCGGTGGCAAGGAGAGAGAGAGAGAGAGAGAGAGAGAGAGAGAGGGATTGAAGCCGGAATTTGAGGTGTTAATTAATGGAGGGTTCTGTGTTTCTTTTCTTCTGTTTAACCTAAGGTGTTATGGAAAGAGAATCAATTAGTTGAGCAGAGAATGAAGTGTCATTACCTGTCTGCGACGTTTCTTTCCTTTTATTCGTCTCCCTTTAACAAATTTGCTTTTTAAAAACAACGTATACATTTTTTAAATTATATATAATATATAATATATAAATGCACCGATACACGTTTTAGGTTGGGTCGGGAATTTTTTTTTTTTACAAATTTTTTGTACATAATATTTTATAAAAATATCAATTTATTATAATTAAATTAATTTTAATTAATATTTTATATAATTTTATCATCACATAATTGTATATATATATTTTAAATAATTATCAAATAATAATAAAATTTTTCTTTTAAGACGTGAGTCATAACACTTTATAATAATTTTTAATGTAACCTTAATTTAAAAAAGATGTTTTGTAGATTACATTGTATTAGGTACTAAAATATATTAATTGAATTTGGAAAGGTGCTTATAATAAGTTAAAATTCTTATTTAATGAAGAATATTTTATAATTTAATACACTACTGATAATAAAATTATACATTTTTTTATCTAATAATGAAAAGAATAAAAATAAAAATCATTGACCTAAGTTATGTATAAAATTATTTAAATATTTTTAATAAATACTTTTAACGTTATAATTCACAAAGATATTAAAGCCTTCATTATTATTCTTCATATTTTAATTATTAAAATGTATTAATATTTCACAATTTCATCTAATAATTGAGATTTTAAAAAACAAAAACTCACGGAAGCATTGGGCTATGAAATACTGTCGTATTTTCCTTTTGGAATGTCTGAATTACTAACACTACAATATTTTTATAAAAAAAGAAAAAGAAAAAGAAAAGAAGAAATAGAAGGCGTACTATATAAAGGTAAGGTTATATCCCCGATTCAGTCCCTCAACTTTCATTTTTGAACTAAAACTACCCTTGAACTTTAAAAAGTACTAAAAAAATCCTTTAACTTCAATTTTTGGGACCAATTTCGTCCTTCCGTCGACAAAAGTGCCAAATGGCACGTTAAGTTGCCACGAAATCAATTTTTGTTTGAAATTTTTAATTACGTGGAAAATAACTTAGTCCAAGTCATTTTAATTAATTTATATATTAAAAAATTTAAAATTCCTTAAATACCCCATCGTGCAACCCCTCGTTACTCCGGCCATCCCTCATTACTCCGATCATCCTTCATTGCTCCGATCACAAATCTGGTTCCTCGCACAATAATAATGCCCAATACATCTGATTCAAAAAATCAATTCCTCTACAAATGTATACCAAATCTGTAAAGAAAACACAACATTCCTTCAATCAACATCGAGAGCAACTAGATCTGGAAATTCAAGTAATCAGAAGCAACACAAAACTCTAAATCCCATTCAAGCATGCAAGCCAACAAAGAAACACAACAAAAAAAACCCAGGCGGATTCGACTCAAACCCAGGCGCTGGGTTCGAGGAACCCAGGACGCCTGGGTTCGA